CAGCACCATGACAGTTTACAAGTGCCATGGCAATGTTAGGAAGTTACCCTATATGGTATAAAAAGGGGAGGCAAGAATAATCCACTCCTTGTTTAGCATATAATCAATAAATAACCAAAAAAATGGGCAACCAGCAGCCCTCAGGGCTGCCCTGCCTATGGAGGAGCCATTCCTTTACTTTCCTAATAAACTTGCTTTCACTTTATGGAGTCACCCTGAATGTTTTCTTGTGCAAGATTTAAGAACCCTCTTTTGGGGTCTGTATCAGGACTGCTTTCTGTTAACAATTTGTCCTGCAAGTTTAACCTGATTCAGCATCCCCAAACTTCTATCTCTCAACTTAGTGAAGCTAATATGCTCTATTTTTGTTCCTTCTTCCTGTACTAAAGTCTAAAAAGTACTTCCACACAGAAATCTACCATGATTGCAGGGCTCACCTTAATTTTTTTCTTCCCTCTTGTATCTCATTTCTGTGATGCCTATTGTCTTATTTGTGAAAACTATTTCTCTATCTTGTTTAGTTTGTTGTGTAATGGTCTAGTTTTCTAGTTGTTTTGAGTAGCAGATCTAGTCCAGTACTAGTTATTTGATATGGCCAGAGGAAGAAGCTCTTTGAAAACATTTCTGTAGCAAATTTCTTTCTTCAAAATGAAATCTTACAGAATAAGGAGTGAAAAAGAGAGTCAGTTTTTCGTTCAATAAATATTTCCTGATTCCATTAGCTATACTAAGCATGATGAAATAATAAGTTTTTAAAAAGTGCCCTCAAGGAATTTTCAGTCCAGTACTATGTTTTTCAAACTTCAGTTTGTGAACACTAGAGGATTATTACATAACAATGAGCATTTTAAAGAAGAGAAGCAGAGAATATCAAAGGGCATTACAATAGTAAGCGTAAGTATTTCAATAAACTTGAGTTCAATTTGTTATATACCTTTATCGTAGGTCCTCATGTAAAATGTATTTCCTTTTTTTTTTTTTTTTTTTGAGACAGAGTCTCGCTCTGTTGCTCAGGCTGGAGTGCAGTGTCATGATCTCGGCTCATTGCAACCTCCGCACCTCCGGTTCAAGTGATTCTTCTGCCTCAGCCTCCCGAGTAGCTGGGACTACAGGTTAATGCCACCACACCTGGCTAATTTTTGTATTTTTAGTAGAGATGGGATTTCACTATATCGGCCAGCATGGTCTCGAACTCCTGACCTCTTGATCTGCCTGTCTGCCTTCCTCGGCCTCCCAGAGTGCTGGGATTACAGGCGTGAGCCACCATGCCCAGCTGTAAAATGTATTTCTTACTGTCTTACTTTTTTTTTTTTTTTTTTAAATTGAAACAGAGTCTCACTCTGTCACCCAGGCTGGGCTACAGTGGTGCGATCTCAGCTCACCGCAACCCCTGCCTCCCATGTTCAAGACATCCTCTTGCCTTAGCCTGCCGAGTAGCAGGTAATACAGGCATGTGCCACCACCCCTGGTTAATTTTTATATTTCCAGTAGAGATGAGGTTTCACCATGTTGGCCAGGCTGGTCTTAAACTCTTGACCTGAAGTGATCTGCTTGTCTTGGCCTCTGAAAGGGCTGAGATTATAGGTGTGAGCCACTCTGCCTGGCTTTGTTTTTGTTTTGTTTTGTTTTTTGTTTGTTTTTGAGACAGGGTCTTGCTGTGTCACCCAGGCTGGAGTGCGGCGGCATGACCACGGCTCACTGTAGCCTTGTCCTCTGGCGCTCAAGTGATCCTTCCACCTCAGCCTCCCAAGTAACTGAGACTACAGGCGTGCCACCATGCCTGGCTGATTTTTTTAATTTTAGTAGAGACAGGGTTTGTTCCTGTCTCTACTACAACATACTCTTGTCCTGGCTGGTCTCAAATTCCTGGGCTGAAGTGATCCTCCTGCCTCAGCCTTCTAAATTGCTGGGATTACAGGTGTGAGCCACCGCACCTGGCTAAAATATATTTCTTAATGTACTTCTTGCTTAGAAAAGTTTGAAAGCTAATGATCACGTGGAGGAGATTCTCTAGAAAAACTATCTTAAATTTGGAAATAAGGCAAAAAGGAATACAGTATGTTTCTTCAATGTTTTATTGTTTAGGAAGCCCAATCAAGGATCAAGAATCATTTAAGAGTTCCAGTCACTGGGCGTGGTGGCTCACGCCTGTTATCCCAACACTTGGGAGGCTGAGGCAGGTGGATCACCTGAGGTCAGGAGTTCAAGACCAGCATGGCCAACATGGTGAAACCCCGTCTCTACTAAAAATACAAAAATTAGCCAGGCGTGGTGGTGGACGCCTGTAATCCCAGATACTCGGGAGGCTGAGGCAGAGAATTGCTTGAACCCAGAAGGTGGAGGTTGCAGTGAGCCAAGATCACGCCATGGCACTCCAGCCTGGGCGAGGAGACTCCATCTCAAAATAAATAAATAAATAAATAAAAGTTCCAATCAAGTATTATTTGATTATCTACAGCACCACCATCCAATAGGACTTGCAGTGATGGAAATGTTTTATATCTGTGCTGTTCAATACAGTAGCACTAGATACATGTGACAGTTGAATACTTGAAATGTGTCTAGGATAACGGAGGAATTTGATTTTTAATTGTATTTAATTTGTTAACATTTAAATGAAAGTGGTCAAAAGTAGAGGAATGTATTTTTATTTGACTTCGAGACTTACTCTTAATTAAGGACTCTGACTTAGTCGAATAATGTTGACTAACAGATTTGTGTCCCTCAGAAAAGACAATTTCAAAGGTTATAGTTTCATTGCCTTGTAAGACATTAACAGGTTTTGTATCTAACCTAGCAGTCTTATAAAGTTGGCCCTCTGTATCCACGGGTTTGGCATCTGGGGATTCAACCAACTAAGAATTGAAAATATTAAAATAAAAATAAATAGTACAACAATAAAAATTAATACAAATAAAAATGTAGTATAGTGACTATTAACGCAGAATTTATGTTGTATTAGGTATTAAGTAATCTAGAGATGTTTTCAAGCATACGGGATGGGTTGGAAGCAGTGGTTCACACCTGTAATCCCAGCACTTTGGGAGGTCAAGGAGGGGTGGATCACTTGAGGTCAGGAGTTCGAGACCACCCTGGCCAACATGGTGAAACCCCATCTGTACTAAAAATACAACAATTAGCTAGATGTGGTGGTGGGTGCCTGTAATCCCAGCTACTCAGGAGGCTGAGGCAGGAGAATCACTTGAACTAGGAAGGCGGAGGTTGCAGTGAGCTGAGATCGCGCCACTGCACTCCAGGCTGAGCAACAGAGTGAGACTTTGTCTCAAAATACATAAATAAATAAAAATAAAAAATAAAGTATATGGAAATTAGCTGGGCCTGGTGGCATGCACCTGTAACCCCAGCTACTCAGGAGACTGACGCAGGAGAATTGCTTGAACCCAGGAGGCAGAGGTTGTAGTGAACCAAGATTGTGCCACTACACTCCAGCCTGGGTGACAGAGCAAGACTCTGTCTCAAAAAAATAAAAAATACATAAATACATAAAGTATACAGGAAGATGTGCGTACTTATATGCAACTAGTATGACATTTCATATAAGGAACATAAGCATCCCCAATTTTGGTATCAGTGGGAACCATAGAACCAGTTTCCAGTAGATCCTAAGGGATACTATACTAACATTGTTTTCTAAAAATGTCTGTCTTCAGTTCCTTGTAATGTTCTTTAAACCAGCTTTACCATCTTATTGGCTCCCTCATTAATGAGTTAGGCAAAATCATTCACAGGTGTTCATTCATATCAAAGAATCACATTTTTAACTTTTTGAAAGCCATATGTCAAAAAACAATGTGATAAGTGCAGTATGAAAGTATGTTGTGGAATCAGGAACTAATTTGTTCTCTGCCTAAGCTTCACCTAAGATAAGTATAGTTGATTGCTAGGAGAAAATGCCATTGAATTGTCCTAGAAGGTGATTTTTGAACTGTCTTAGCAGGCAATACAGACTTTTTCTTTCTCTTTTCTTTTCTTTTTTTTTTTTTTTTTTTTTTTTTTTTTTTTGAGACAGTCTTGCTCTGTCGCACAGGCTGGAGTGCAGTGGCGAGATCTTGGCTCACTGCAAGCTCCGCCTCCTGGATTCACGCCATTCTCCTGCCTCAGCCTCCCGAGTAGCTGGTACTACAGGTGTCCGCCACCACGCCCTGGCTAATTTTGTGTGTGTGTGTGTATTTTTTAGTAGAGACGGGGTTTCACCGTGTTAACCAGGATGGTCTCGATATCCTGACCTTGTGATCCGCCCGCCTCGGCCTCCCAAAGTGCTGGGCTTACAGGCGTAAACCACCGCGCCCAGCCAATATAAACTTTTTCTTATGCAGCAGGGATGAGAGTGGTCCTCCAAGCCAAAGAACTACTCATCAGTCATTCACAAGCATTGTAAGCAGTTCGCTTGTGTTAGAGTGGGGTTGCCTGTATCAAGGTGGGAATTAGAGATGAGCCTAGACAGGAAGGGTAGAAGCAAGGCATAGTGAAAAGAGCACTGGCTTCAGTCAGGAAACAGATTTGCATCCTAACTCTACCTAGAGCTACTTATTAATAATTTGGCTTTTTGAGCCTGTTTGCATAACTGTAAATTGGGGCATTAATAACTTCTCCATGTTGTGTTAGGATTATATTAGATAGCCAAGTAAATCACATTGTACATTGGTGCTGTAGATGTTTAATAAGTTACAGTTATAATTATTAATTAGAAAGTGGTCAACAATTTCACATGGTGCCATGTTGGAATAAGATAAATAATATTAAATAATCTGTAATCGGATTTCCCAATCAGAAAGTTATTGACGACTCTGGCAAGAACTGCTTCAAAGGAGCAGGACCAGAATGTGTTGAGAAATGGATGGAAGGTGAGGAAATGAGGAAGCGGATAGCTAGTCCTTTCAGAAACCTTGCCCTGAATGGGAGAGAGGTGATTCAGTTCAACACTTATGAGAATCTTTTTTTGTAGATTGAGGAGACTTGAATATTTTTGTATCCTGCAGGGAGAAATGGATGAAGAAGACCGAAGATAATGATGAAGGGATGATTTGGAATAGGATTCACAGCAAGAGAGACAGAAGGGAAAGACATTGAAGAAACAGACTAGTTAACACATGAAGAAAATGGAGTAGAGGAAAACACGTCCATGTGTTTCAACTCTAATGAGAGCAGGTCTGATGTGAAGGGAGTTGGAGGAGAAGGGAAAGTTTGATGATGCACAGTTTGCATCCCAGAAGGCTCTTGACAACCAAAGTGTCCACAGCAGATTCGTCCAGTCTAGATAAACCATGCACAGAGAATTTCAAAGAAAAGCAGAAGAGATTTCCAAACCTTTACCCTAATCCAGGGAGGAGAGGACGGGACGTCAAAATATGGTCTTGAGTATGGAAGCATTGGGTCGCAAAGGCCTGAACAACTGCTGAAATCGAGGACAAATATTATGGTATATAGCCCTGGGTCAACTTGTATTTTAGAAACGAATTAAGAAAACCAAAACAATTGCAAAGCCCACCCCATGCTCTACGAGTCTTCCCTCCTCAATCACTTCATTGGCCAGTGTCACGCAAACACTTTGGATTAAACATGCATGGTCTAACACTGATTGGCATGTTGAAGAATCCGTCTGTGGCCAGCGATTGGCGGGCGTGTCTAGGCTCTAGCCAATCCGGAAAGGGGCGGGCTGGTTAAGCGTCAGGTTCCTTAGATCCACGGGTCAGCCCAGTAACTGACTCCTCTTCTCCCTTCTCTCGGGTCCTAGCACAGCGTCAAATGGAGCTTTCCTACCAGACCCTCAAATTCACGCATCAGGCCCGGGAAGCGGTAAGGAACGCATATATAAAAAATAATTATATCAGGAACACCTATCCTACTGTTGCTGCAGGCCGATTCCGAGTCTCCGGTTGCTATGGCGACAGAGTCTGCTACTAGAGCAGCGCAAACGCAGTGAGAGGCGCTCAGCCCCTGTGATTAAATCCCGGGTTTGCAGCTGTGATGGGGGGAAAAATAAAGGAGACGCAGGCGGGTTTGGGGGTGACAACGGGTCGACAGGGTCGGTTCCTGATTGAGGAAATGAGGTATTGAGTGTTATTAGACGCTGGATCTTGATTGGGTGAATGGATTTGGGAAGTGGTCAAAATTAGATTGTTGAAAGACAGTAAAACATTGACCTGGGAGTTAGTTAGAATATTGGCTTCTGATCTTGATTTACCATTACTAAGGCGAGAGATCTTAGGCATTTAATTCCCTTCTTGGGCTTCAGTTTCTCCATTTGAAAGTCAGGGAATTGGACTGTAATCTTTTAAACACGAAGATTATATGAGTTCTAAAATACATTAAGTGGTTTCCCGTGGTCTGTATCATCTGCTACTGGCCAGCAATTCTTTCCACAGCGATGAACATGGATTGAGGACACACTTGTCTGCCAGGCACTGGGGAGATAAAAACAATGTGGGGGCGGAGGGAAGGAAAAATAAAATTAAAGTTAAAAAATACATCTACCTGGATCTCATTCCCAGAGGTTCAGAATTACTGGCTTGGGATGAGTCCTATGCGTCAGTATTTTTAGAAAGCTCAACAGGTGATTACAGTGTGTAGCCAAGGTTATAAACCAGAGCTCTAGTATCTCCTACCTTTTAAAAACTAGTAATACACAAAAAGGTAATCCTCTGTTTGGCTTCATACCCCTCTACAGTTACCAACCTCTGTTTATTTCTCTCCACCTTCTAGAAAGGGTTGGCTACACTTGTTGTTGCTACTTCCTTACCTCCGGATTGTACTTAAGCGTATTTCAATCTGAGCATGAACTATCTGCCTCAGAATCTTCTGGGTTACCCTTTATTAGAGCAGATTCTTGGGCCTCACCAAGACACTGAATCAGAAACCCCCGGATGGTTTCTTGAAACTTGCACTTTCAGCACAAACTGCACGTTTGAAAAACCCAGCCGTAGACTTTCTCATATTTTCACGACTTCTAGTACTATCTTTTATAAATTTATCTTTTTGTAGACAGAGTCTTGCCAGGCTGGAGTGCAGTAGCATGATCTCAGCTCACTGCAGCCTCCACCTCCCGGGTTCAAGTGATTCTCCTGCCTCAGCTTCCCGAGTAGCTGGGACTACAGGTACACGCCACCATGCCCAGCTAATTTTTTGTATTTTTAGTAGAGACAGGGTTTTACCATGTTGCCCAGGTTGGTCTCGAAATTTTGAGCTCAGGCAATCTGCCCCCCTTGGCCTCCCAAAGTGCTAGGATTTCAGGCATGAGCCACCATGCCTGGCCAACTTCCTCCTCCTCTTCCTCCTCCTCCTCCTCCTCTCTTCTTCTCCTTCTCCTCCTCCTCCTCCTCCTCCTTCTTCTTCTTCTTCTTCTTCTCCTCCTTCTCCTTCTTCTCCTTCTTCTCCTCCTCCTCCCCCTTCTTCTTGTTCTTCTTGTTCTCCTCCTCCTCCTTCTCCTCCTCCTCCTTCTTCTTCTTCTTCTTCTTCTTCTTCTTCTTCTTCTTCTTCTTCTTCTTCCTCTTCTTCCTCTTCTTCTTCCTCCTCCTCCTCTTCTTCATCTTCCCCTTCTTCTTCCTCCTCCTCCTCCTCTTCTTCATCTTCTTCCCTCTTCTTCCTCCCTCCTCCTCTCTCTTTCTTCATCTTCTTCCCCTTCTTCTTCCTCCTCCTCCTCCTCTTCTTCATCTTCTTCCCCTTCTTCTTCCTCTTCTTCTTTTTTTTTTTTTTTTTTGCTTTTGTTGCCCAGGCTGGAGTGCAATGGTGTGATCTCGGCTCACTGCAGCCTCTGCCTCCCGGGTTCAAGCGATTCTCCTGCCTCAGCCTCCCAGCTGAGATTACAGGCATGTGCTACCACACCCAGCTAATTTTTTTGTTGTTTGTTTGTTTGTTTGTTTTAGTAGAAATGGGGTTTCTCCATGTTGGTCAGGCAGGTCTCGAACTCCTGACCTCAGGTGATCCACCTGCCTTGGCCTCCCAAAGTGCTGGGATTACAAGCGTGAGCCACCGTGTTCACCCAAACTTCTAATACTATCTATATGCCAAAAACTCCCCCAAACTACCTCAACTGGACTTCTTCGTTAAGCCCGACCCAAGACCCAGAAGATAAAATGTGGAGAGGACAATGGGTCAACTGATTACTTGACATATCCACTGGGGTGTTACAAGTATCTGCATTGTCTGCACTGTGTGTGTGTGTGTGTGTGTGTATGTGTGTGTTTGAGACAGGGTTTCACTCTTTCACTCAGGCTGGAGTGCAGTGGTGCGGTCACAGCTCACTGCAGTCTCAACCTGCTCAAGGGATCCTCCTGCCCCAGCCTTTCAAGTAGCAGGAACTACAGGCATGCACCACCATGCCCAGCTAATTTTTCTGTATATTTAGTAGAGATGGGTTTTGCCATGTTGCCTAGGCTGATCTTGAACTCCTAGGCTCAAGTGATCCTCCTACCTCGGCCTCCCAAAGTGCTGGAATTAATAGGCATGAGCCACTATGCCTTGCATCTTAACTTGTTTAACGACTACTACTTCTCCTCCTTCTCCTTTTCCTTTTCTCCTTCTCCTTTTTCTTCTTTTCTTCAACAGGGTCTCATTCTGTCACCCAGGCTGGAATGCAGTGGTGTGATCTCAGCTCACTGCAACCTCTGTCTCCCGGGCTCAAGTGATTCCCCCACCTCAACTTCCCAAGAAGCTGGAACCCACAGGCATGTACCACCACACTCGGTTAAATTTTGTATTTTTTGTAGAGAGTTTCACCATGTTGCCTGGGCTGGTCTCAAACTCCTGGGCTCAAGTGATCCACCTGCCTTGGCCTCCCAAAGTGCTGGGATTACAGGCATGAGCCATTGTGTCTGGCTTAATGCTTCACTTTTTACTGTCCTCTCTCAAACCTGTACCTTTCCCAGTCTTTCTCCATTGGGGAAACCACCCCAATGAAACCACCGTTCATCTGATTGCTGAAATCAGAATTCTGGGGGTCATCCTTAGCTCTTTCTTTCTCCTAGTCCCTCCCCTCTGTCCTCTACGAGAGGAAGACATCAGCAAATTTTATTGATTCTACTTCTATAATGTATCTTTAATAATCCATATCTTCACATCCACCTCCTGATCTGAACCTCCATACACTCTCACTGGAACCACATTAATAGCGTCTTAGCTATTTCTCGTTGGTTTTTGCCTCTCTCCAGTCCATTCTTCATCCAACGATCAGGGTGATTTCCTTAAAATAGTGCCACTCTTTTAATGGGGTCCTTTTAATGGCTTTCCATTACACTTGGGATAAACCCTCCAAATCTTGACAAGACCTACAAAGCACTGCAATAAAGCCCAACCTCTGCCTCCATGCTCTTCCTCTCCATTTTCTGTGTTGCCTCTCAGTGCTCCAGCCACATTCTCCCTAATCTGACGTCTCACAACTCCATATAGTCTATACCATATATTTAGTATTTAATTGGATTAATTATATTGTTATCTGTTGCTTGCATGTAATAGATAATACAAATTTCTTGAAACTTGAAAGCAAGACAGGAACCCAAGCCTTATTTTTTGTTTTGGTCCCTAGATGGTGCTAAGAACAATATTTAAGTATGCACACTGATGGTTTGATCTCTTGGGGTCTATGTGCAAGGAACTGTGCTGAGTAGGGATCTGGAGAAGCTGGAGGAGGGGATGTGATCCAGTGTGTTAGATATAAAGAGGGCTGCACATCCACAAGACACTCTGATCACCTACATCATCTACTGTATTGAGATTTTCAGAATATTTTCTTTGTATTTGGTTTATTTTCATTGTTTCAAATTATTTATTTACACATATATTTTCAATTTTTAATTTTTAACAAAGTAATGGCAACACATCATTTAAAATTATACTAGTTCAACAAAATTTGAAAAAAGAGTCTCCTGCTTCACCTCACCTGGCCCTTAATTAATTACTGCTCCCCAGAAGCAACTACTTTGACTTCTAGCAGCTTCTTCAAAATAACATGTTTATACTCTTTTTTTTGAGATGGATCTTTGCTCTTGATGCCCAGGCTAGAGTGCAATGGTATGATCTCGGCTCACCGCAACCTCTGCCTCCTGGGTTCAAGTGAATCTCCTGCCTCAGCCTCCCGAGTAGCTGGAACTACAGGCGCCCGCCACCACGCCCGGCTAATTTTGTATTTTTAGTAGAGATGGCATTTATCCATTTTGGCCAGGCTGGTCTTGAACTCCCAACCTCAGTTGATCTACTTGCCTTGGCCTCCCAAAGTGCTGGGATTACAGGCATGAGCCCCCACCCCAGGCCCCAGTTACTTTCTTTCTTTCTTTTTTAGAAATCAACAGTCTCTCCCAGGCTGGAGTGCATTGGCATGATTTAGCTCATTGCAGCCTTGAATTCTTGGGCATAAATGATCCTCCCACCTCAGCCTCACAAGTTGCTGGGACTGCAAGTGTGCACCACCGCATCTGGTTAAACTTTTTATTTTTTGTAGAGACAGATCTCACTATGTTGCACAGGCTGGTTTCAAACCCCTGGCCTCAAGTGATCTTTCCCCATCCACCACCTTGGCCTTCTAAAGTGCTGGGATTATAGGGATGGGCCATGGCACTCAGCCTGCAGGTATGGTTTTTTTTCTTTTTGTTAGATGAAGTCTCACTCTGTCACCCAGGCTGGAGTGCAATGGCGCGATCTTGGCTCACTGCAACCTCTGCCTCCCGGTTCCAGCGATTCTCCTGCCTCAGCCTCCTGAGTAGCTGGGACTGTAGGCGCATGCCACCATGCCCGGCTAATTTTTGTATTTTTAGTAGAGATGGAGGTTTAACCATGTTGGTCAGGCTGATCTCGAACTCTTGACT